AGCTCAAAAAGTGCTAAGAAGCATTCAGAGTCAAAAAGAAAAGAATGGTTATCACAAAACACTAGGCAGAAAATTGGGGAGCAAAATTCAAACCTAAACTTAATCAAGGATGGAGTATATAACTAGCTAAAACAAAAAAATATAATGACAAGGAAATAAGGATGAATCAAAGCAAGCGAAAAGAAGCAATTTCATTAGCAGAGTGGCAATAGACATACTGGGCAATGCCCTGCAACGGTTTTGAGGACATTGATGTCTAGATGGAAAAGGACCGCTGTCCCCTCTAGATACACCAATGCAGCTTAACAAAGACAAATACATTCCTCATCCTCCTAAAACAGCAGAGGAGGAAATACAGTGTTATATATCAACCTTGTAGCAGAATAATAAGAAAAATAATTCAGTGGTAAAAGGTAGGAAAGTGCTGAATAAGACAGAACAAAAATAACTTAAATAATTGGAAACTTTTCCAAATTAAAGAAAAAAAGACACTTTATTGATAGTCTACTTTGAGACATTCATCTACAACCTTTACTAGCAAAAAAAAAAAAAAAAAACCACACCCAAAACTTATTCCTTCTATTTACTCACCTCTTTCTTAATCATTTCCCATGTTTTCTTTGCTGCTGCTCTTTTTGCTTCTTTCTTACTTTTACCAATGCCTCTACCATATTCCACATCACTTAATTTGACCACAACTGTGAACCTGCAATAAAGGAAAATTTTCTAAAGCATTGTTACATTTTGCCTCATAAATACTTGATAACCTTCTCAGATTAAACTTTGATTTTATTATCTACAGTAATATACTGTGAGGTATTGAACTATCCCCATGTTTTTATTATATCCAGCTCCTGATTATCATAATTCTTTAGTATAAATATATTAAAATACTTCCTCCCTAGTCACAAATGCATGTACTTTTTTAGTTCTAACAGTATATTTGACTGCTTACTTGCTTTTTAAAAGCAAAATTATTTAAATTTTTAAAAGCAAGAGAGTGCATGAGGTCGGTATTGCTACAAGCCAAGTTGTGAGGCTGTAGCACCAGGACACATCTCAGCACTGCAAAACTATACAGAGAGGAAAGATTAGCTAATCTTGATTTCATGGAACCAGATGTGGCATTGCATTCACTTTCAATACCCTGTGATGTACCCTACTTAGTAAGGGCAAAAACCATGTCTAGTGCTTTGCAAGAGATGAATTTAAAGACAACCACAAACAACAAACAAAAAAATGCAAACAAAACAAAGAAAAGGAAAAACCAAACCAAACAAACAAAAAACCAGCACCCAGTCGTGCCCCTCCACACTCAGCTCTTGATCCCTTCCTTCTCCATCCCTCCATTGCACAACTGTTCATGTACTGCTTCCCACATGGCAACTCCATGAGTCAGAATGGGGGTCTGGTGCATCTCAGGACTAACTGTAGTGGATCTGGCTGGGATGGAGTTAACTTTCTTCAGAGCAGCCGGAATGGTGCTGTGTTGTGGATTTGGGACTAAAACAAGGTTGATAACAGTGTTTTACCTATTGCTGAACAGTCTTCGCACAGCACCAGATCTTTTTCTTTTTTCCCCACTCTGGCTGTCCAGTAAGTGGGGGGGGATGTGTGAGAAGCTGGGAAAAGACACAATCAAGGCAGCTGGCCAGAGGGATATTACATGCCATGTGGCATCACATTCAGCAATAAAAGGTGAGAGATGGAGGAAAAGGTAACATTTGAAGTTATAGTGTTTACCTTCCCAATTAACCATTTGGCATGGTGAAGCCCCACTTATATGGAAAGAGCTAAAAATCTACCTGCTGATGGGTAGCAGTAAGCAAATTCCTTATTTTGCTTTGGTCACACAACTTTGCTTCATCTGTTAAACTACCTTTATCTCAATACATAAGTTTTTCTCCCTCTCAGCTTTCTGATTCTCCTCCCCATCCCACTGGGGGGAAGTGAGTGGCTAGCTGGGAGTTTTGCTGCTGCCTGAGATCAAGCCCCCACAGCACCCTAATAAGAAATGGTTGGATTCAGATGGGTCAGTCCTTATTCGGATCCAACCTGTCCTGCAGATGCAAATTCCCTAATGTTCCTGCTACTGCCTTTGCACAAAAGGCAACAGAGGGTAAAACAAATAGATTTCTGCCTTTGGCAGCAGCACAAACTTGCAACAAGTTTAAGTGATGGTTAGAGCCTCAGGGTAAGTCCATGCTTCAGAGTGCAGCAGAACATATAGATGCTCACAGCCATGGACTTACACAACAAAACAGTCCAGGTATAACATCATAAGCCTCTCCGTGGGATAATTTGTCTCAAATAGTCGAATGACTTTAGGAATTCACTTTTTCCGTTATTCCAACTTAATTCTCCACTTCCCTTTAATGAAATGTTTGCATGGAAAGAAATGCAGATGCAGAATAATGCTTGCACTTGTGTTAAGAAATCTTAAGGAGGCAACGAGTAGGACAAGGCACATGATAGTGTGCCACATACTCTACACATAGGAAACAGCAAACAAACAAGCACATGAAAGAAAGATCGTTCTTTGGGAAAGGGTCTGTTAGGTTAAGTGCTGAATACTACATGCCTTCAGTTATCATGTTGCATCCAAAATTCACCATTTTGGTTAGGCATCCTGAAGAAATGTGCAGTGAATGATCAATGAGTTAATTATCTGAGTTGAGGATTAGCCAGGTGAACGTTGCACGAGTTGGTTCCAAATGTACAGTCACAATTATCCACCATGAGCCCTGAGATAATAAGCAATTCCCAGATTTGCTAGGTTTAGGCGGGACTGGCCTAGTTTTACACACACTGCATTCCCAGCCCAAGAAAGCTTGCAGACAGTCAGGACTGGACCACCCTGGGCTCTCTCAACCTTCTTACACTGTGTTCAGCACTGACCCTGTCAGACATTGTACTGGAAGCAGCTACAGCACCAGCTCTCTCTGCACATGTCTCAGAGAACTGCATGAGATAAGACACAGTACGAAAGAGTTAGGGACCCAGCTCAGTACCAGCAGTGGCCACTGTGTCCCATTAGCAGGCAGAGCACTGGGAAAGAGCATCACCAGGGCACTGTAGGAGGTTTACAGCAGGCATCATTGTAGCCAGACACTTTACACTGTATCCTTGGAATAGACCAAGTTGTATAGGATTTTCCTAGATATCACTCTCACACAATGGGCTGAACTGTATTTGTGAATGTAGCACAGCACATGTAAAAATATGAAAAAGCATAGATTTGGAATGTATATAAATTCCGTCAGTCCCATGCCGTGACTTTTGAATCACAAAAATGTAGCTCTGTGACCAAAGCTGTGGTCATTACTGCAATAAGGGTTGCTTTTTGAGTTACATGAGCTGCATGGGGAAAAAAATCAAGATAACTGATTAACATTTGAGACACTGATAATTTATTCTGGGACTATAGTCAGGTCTACAAATAAGTCTGTGTAGACAGTGCTAGGTGTCTAAAACATGCAAGACATTAAAAGAAACATATCAGTTAGTAGCATGAGGCTTGTCTTCATGCAAACTAGCAAAAAAAATTTTTTTAAAAATCACACAAGGAAACACTATAGATCTTGAGTATGATATTTGGCAAGCAAAAAAAATTAGCAAAACACCATATTTCTGTTAAAAAATAAAATATGTTCCATCACCTGTAATTGTCTCTTAAAGGGAAAACAAATCTTCTTAGGTAAAATACCCTTTCTTGAAGCAGATGTTCAAAAATTAAACACATTAAACATGTTGGTACACAGTCAATTAATATAGACTCAACCTTTATGGTTAGGTATCAACAACTCTTCGTAAAACTAAAGAGAAATCAAAGCACTTAAGTTAGGATAGACCATAATCTGAAATACATACTGCAACCCAACCCACCTCCTGAGAGATTTTATGGCAGATGCATAACATACTCAAAATATAGTTACTAGTAACAAAACCATGCATCTACCACTCAATTTATGGTTTCAACCAGCTCTCCTGCTGCATATATGCTTTCAGCAAATTATCTTTTGTGACTGCAAGCTTTTCCCAGTTTGTTCATCAAAAACCCTTCTGGTTATTGACATGCATAGTGAACTTACTCAGGGTCATGAGATGGGCCGGTCATCCCAGCAGTGTCATAACGCAGTGTAAGTTTATTTACTTGACAGTGACGGTTGATCTCCTCCATACACTTAACTTCATCCATTCTCTGTCCATTCTCCATTCTCTCCTTCTCCATACACTCTCCATCCATTTTGAGGCAATCTCAAATAGATTCTGCAAAGTAATAGTCAAAGATGTGTCTGTGCCTCTAGACACTGAAGAGCGACAGTCCCTAATCCTGGTAGATCACTGCTGTGATGTAAAATAGAAAACTGGTGCCAGTAACAAAGATCATCAAAAACTAATTCTAATGTCTAATTGAAATGGTTGATCTGTCACAGTTTTTGAAGAGTCATTGCTTGGAATAACAGTTTTAGAAAGCAGAGAGGAGAACTTAGTGATTAGAGAAGATTTCTTAGCGGATTTCTTCACAGGAAAAGACCAAATCATTCACCGAATTCTGTGGGGGTAAAATAATCGGTAACGTTTCTCCAGAATTATAATGGCTTCCTTGAGAGGGGAACCAAGCGGCACTTGAACATACCCCTTCAAACCGCGATGACGGGCAGGCTCAGCCTTACTGTCCAAAGCTGAACTCTGGCTCCCGGGCGCCGAGCGCTGCGAGCCAGCGCCGCTCCCGCCGGAGTACGGGCAGCCCCACTCGGCCGGACTCCCCGCCCGCCCTCTCCGCCGTTTACCTGCGAGCGGCGGCAGATGCTCCAGGACCCGCGGGGGCTTCAGCAGCTCCAGCAGCCGGAGTGGTGCAGCCCAGCCCTATGCGACACGAAGTTTCGTTTCCCGCAGCACCGCCCGGTCCGGCGGAAGCGAAACCGAAAGGGCGGGCGATTCCCGCAGGTTGCGGGGCGGCTCCTTCCCGAGGCCGCGGGAAAGCCGCGCTCCGCCCGCCGCACGGAGCGGAGCCTCCGCCGGCTTCGCTCTGCCCAGCGCTCCTGAGCCACCGGGGAACGGAGAGCAGCAAGGAGAGCGAGCTGCTTCGCAAAGATGTGTCAGCCACAGTGCCGTGACCCTCCGGCACTCTTCCCTGACTAGCTGCTGCCTTTTTCTGCTACAGCTCAGCAACACGGACAGCGGGGAGCAGTGGCACACCCAGCTTCGCCCAAATACATCCAAATATGTATTTTTAGTGGTCCTTTTCCTTCTCTGACTAGCCGATTAACAGATATGTTCCTGTATTGGGTCTGACTGAGATGGACTTCATTTTCCGAGAAAATCTTCAAGATTAGTTTCCAGAGGCAAGATCTAAAGTATGGAGCAAATACACTTCACTGTGTACACACAGCACCTGCTCCTGATCACCCAGATACAAAACCTATGGAACTGTGCTTTGATTCCCACCCAGCTGCAAGGTCTCTCTCCAGCAGAAACCAAGACAGCTGTAGAGGAGAGAGGGAAAACAGCAGCAAGCCTTAGGTCTTCCTCAGTTGGGCACCCAGGAAGCACACCTGTTTTCTCATAGTGCTCACAAAACCAGTAAGGAACCCATTCAGACACCAGTGGGGATGCAGCAAAAAGGATCAGAGTTCCAAACACAGAACTTCTAAGTATAATTATCTTGTAGGGAAAAAAAATTAAAAAGACAAACCATGATATAAGTCATGTAATTCACAAGTTATTATTTCTCTATGTATAGACAAAACTGGTTTCCTTTGAAAGTGTTTATGATGTTCTTCCTTGTTAAAAGCCACTTAGAGCAATTCCATTGATTCTGTGTTTGGAGCTTGTTTAAGGATACCAAAATGACATTCTTACATTATCTCTTCTAGAGAACGTGCAGTACACCTTGTGTTTCAGCTTGTTTCTTACTTAGGTTTCTAATAACTGTTGTTTTCCTGGCTCTGAGCTCCTGTGAGGCATTTCTAGCCTCTAGCAAGCCTGTAGAAAGAACAATGAGAAAATAACACGCTTGCTGATAGTGTCATTAGTGGGCTCATTTGCTAACCATGGGGTTCAAATAAATACAACACAGTAAACGGCTGGCTGAAGTACAACCTTGCAGAGACTTTTCCAAGCATACACAAAAGGACACTTCACAGTTACAGACCTACTCTGAAGCAAACAAATGTTTTCTATGCACTGTCAGTTGATGAGAAAACTGAAAATAAAAAAAGTTTAAAATACAACTATAATTCATGGTTTAACTGCTTCAATTCCATAATTGAAGCATTCTAATCAAATTTATACCTTATAAGACCTTTTAAGAGATTTATTTTCCACTTATGACCTCTTTGACCAACACTCAAAGACAGCACAAACATTAATTTTATGGAACTGTACCTTTTCCCCAAGGGGCACGTAGGATTCACTGCTGACTGCAGTACAGGGCTTTCTGAAAAAAAGGCCATCTTATTAAGTAGAGAGAATCCTAGAAATTCAGCTATTCTTAACCACTCATCTGTATAAATTATGAAAAACAGTGACTCAGTAAAAGCAAGTGAAATCCTTGTCTCACACCTTTTCCGTTTTATCAAGTGAAAGTAGTACATTTTGTTAAAGTCAACTCGATAAATTTTATTAAAACTCCTCCTACTGCCTTAACTACAGGATCCTTAGCCATCTCTGTTTCTTCTCAGAATCCCCCTCTCTCCTTAAAGGCTTGCCTTCTGTAGTTCTAGTTGCCATATGCCAAGCTCTAGGGAACAGTTTATTTTGGCCTTTTGTTTGACTCATCAGACAAGGAGATTACTATCCAAGGTGCAGTTTGCAGAACTGAAAGTGACCTAAAGGTGAACTTCCAGTTTCTCTGGTAAGAAACAAACACTACTTGAGCAACCGAGCCTGCTATTAAACTTCTGCTTGGGCAAAATGATCTGTTCTGGAACAGCATTTGGTACATACACCTAAAACCGCTTTCTACCAAGCCGTTCAGGCCTTCATCTGAATGCCTTTCCAACTCATTTGCTCTAGAAAATATTGACCTTTGGAACTTCAAACATTTTATTATCATACCAGTTCCCCAAACAGTGGAGTTATTGACTTTGGCCTTATCATGATCATTTGTTTATGGATGATTCAATCCCGGTGCTGCGGTTTGCTCTGCCTGTAGGTGACTCCGCGGGACAAATCCCTCCAGAAGGCAACACGGAATCCGGGAAAGGCGAAATGAATCAAATCTCTCGCCTGTGTCCTCCTTCTCCCTCGTGCGGCTCCCTCTTCGGCAACGCCCGTGCATGGAATGCTCCGAAGAGCAAACCTACAGATTTTGGCGTCTTTGGACCCCACGCGCCAGCAACACCGCGTAGAGATCTCGCTGATGATCTTTTATAAGGCTGGTAACAGGCTTCCCCAGCCACAGCAGCCGCGGGTATGACATCAGGGAGGCCCCTAGCCCCGGGGCCGGCACAGAGAGTGAACCTACTGCCAGCGGCCAGGAACGGGCAAGGAACGGGAGCGGAAGCCGCAGCGCGGTCCTTCCCCGTTGGAAGCGCCGCGGGAGGAATCCTTTCACGGCAAAACTGTTTCCTGCCAGCATTTCAATAGGTATTTTTCAATGAGATGCCAGCTGTCCGTTTTCTCATCTAGAGAGCATTCCTAAACAGAGGACAAAAATTAACAAACAAAACACCAAAACACATCACAAACCCCACGGCGTGGCACCACCCCCTGCCACACCCGTGACCCCGGTAACGCCGTGTCCCGCACACCTGCTCACCCCGCCCTCTCTCCTTCCTTTTTTCCTTCCCTACTCCCTCCTCAGGCAGATGCAGCTAATCCCTGTCTCAGCCCCCACCCCGCCGGCATGGCAGGAAGCGCTCCGAGCGCTGCGGCTTCCAGGGCACCAGAGCTCCCGCAGCCCTTCTTCCCCGCCCCAGCCCCGCGCAAGCTCTCGGGATCTGGGCGGGGTGTCCTCACAGCCCATTCCAGGGCCTTGCGTGAGTTCAACCCTCTTTTCCTAGCGGGGAGGGCGGAACTGCCGCCACCGCCCAGCGGGGAACGCGCTCCCCTCCCGCACCGCCCCCCGGGCCTGACGCGAGGGGCGGGCCCGGGGCGGGTCCGGGGGGCCTGGCCGTGCTGTGCCCGGCACGGGCGGCTGTGCCGGCGGTTCGGGGTGCTTCCCTCCGCCGTTCCAGCGGGGCGGCTCGCGAGGGAGGCGGCGCCATGGGGCTGCACGGCGTCAAGGCGGTGTTCTTCGACCTGGACAACACGCTGGTGGACACGGCAGCGGCCGGGCGCCGCGCCATCGAGGAGGTACTGCCCCTGTCCCCTTCCCGGCGCCGGGCCCGCGGCCACCGGCCTGCCTGGCCCGGCCCTTCCCGGCCGCGGGGCCGCGCGTGTCCCGCTCCCCTGCCCTGCCCTGCCCACACGCGGCCGGGGCCGCTCCCGGGAGCGCGCCGCGCGTCCCCGCAGCGCCCTGACGCGCGTCCCCGCGTCCCTCGCAGGTGATGAGCGCCCTGCAGTCCAAGCACCACTACGGGGAGGGAGAGGCGCGCGCCGTCTGCGACAAGGTCCAGGCCAAGCTCCTCAAGGAGTGCCACGATCCCGCCAAGATGTGCATCACCGACCTGCGGATTTCGCACTGGGAGGAGGCGATCCAGGAGACCATCGGGGGGGAGGCGAACCGCGACCTGGCGGCCGAGTGCTATTACCTATGGAAGACGACGCGGCTGCAGCACCTGACGCTGGCCGAGGACACGCGGGGGATGCTCACGGAGCTGCGGAAGAGGGTCCGCCTGCTGCTCCTCACGAACGGCGACAGGCAGACGCAGAGGGAGAAGATCGAGGCGTGCGCCTGCCAGCCCTACTTCGATGCCATCGTTGTGGGGGGAGAGCAGAAAGAAGAGAAACCGGCGCCATCCATATTTCATTACTGCTGCGATCTCCTGGGGGTGCAGCCCGCAGAGTGTGTGATGGTCGGTGACTCTCTAGATACAGATATTCAAGGAGGCCTGAATGCTGGCTTGAAAGCAACGGTCTGGTTAAACAAAGCAATGACCACCCCGGTAGATACCTCCCCTGTACCTCATTATATTATTTCTTCTGTTCTGGATCTTCCAGCGGTTTTACAGAAGATGGAGCACAACATTAATGCTAAGTTAGGAACTGACCATACGGCTAGTAGCAATGAAGCACATTGATGGTTCCAGCATACAGAGACCTGCTGAGCTGTTAGGTGACACATGCTCTTTTTAAAAAAATTGACCCTAGGAGTTTGAACTCATGTATGGAATGCTCTTTTAAACAGCAAATGCATGAATAAGAGCACAGTTGTCAGTGAAAACAGGATAGAAACACAAAATTATATTAGTTTAAAAAGATGTTAAGTGCAGTTAATTTAAAACAACTGCCTCTGCCTGGAAACTATTTTGACAGACTGTGGTAAAAGTCTATCTGTCTCTTACCTAAGTTGCCAGTCTCTTGTTTTTATAATGGAAAAGGAAATGTGAATGTTTTGAGCTTTCACATTCTTTGCTGACTTGTAAGTTGAGTAGAAGCTTCAGTGCCGAGCTTGTGTGCAGTGTGTAAGAGAAGATGGGAAAGAGAGTCTGGTACAATCTGGTAAATTTTCACAATTGATCTACAGTTTATCTCAGGAACTGGAGTGAATTTTGCTGTTTCTCAGACCATTAGAAAATGCTCTTTTTTTTGATTTTTTTCAAGTTTTAGATTTTTTTTCCAACTTTGCAGTGAGTTTTTGTTTATGAAATCAGTACCTCTTACTGTAAGTACTTAAATGTACATTAAAAATTGGCATTTTTAGAGGGGACCTTTTATCAGAGGGACTTGATGAATAAGCTTTTACTTTGTATTATCTTGGTGCTTATGCAACTATGCAGTATACTTGTGATTCAGATTATGATTTTTGTTGGAATGTAATTGATAAAACAGGGATATTTTCAATCGCCTTACTGTACTGTCATACTCTTCAAATGCTAATATTATTGTTCTGTCTGATTTTATTAGTGAATTTTGATCAGACTTTTTGGAGAAACTGTTCTCGGTCTTGCTCAGGTGTATGACTACTCAGAATCAGCTGTAGGAACAGTGCTTTTTTTGGACTGTTTTAATGGCACTGCTGTATAATCCCTCCTTACTCCAGTTTCTACAGGTAATTCATGTGATTTATTCTGGAGAAAATATAAGGTAGTTTTTTATAAATGGCTTTATGACTCCCTTTCAGGAAATTGGAGAATTATGTCATATGTATTACAGTACTGTGTACAACTTTATAAGGTATGTGTGATATTTCCTCTAGATGCAGGAGATGACTCTTTAAACAGTAACATTTCTCTTTTCCAGATCATTATATTAATTTATTTTTTCTGTACTTCATATTACTATATAATGGGAAAGTAACCTCATATTAAATGGAAATGTAAACGCTTGTTGGAAAATCTGTTTTTCAAACCTATTTGCTATATATATACATATCAGACTATATATGAACAATCAAATATTATATTTTAAAATAAATCCAAGTTAAATCTTTTGAGAATATATATTTAGATGCTGGCAGAAGAACGTGTGGCATATGGGCAGCAATAAAAGATCAGCAAAAAGTTCAGAAACCTACCATAAAATGGCTGCACAGAAGAAATCCTGTATAAGAGAGGTTCCTCTTTTTAACTTGACATGAATTTAAGTTAATGCAGTTAAGTCTTTCACAGGATGACCGAGTCATCAGGGTGGGGTGTTACATCAGGATCTGGGTTAAATTATTTGACAAGGAGTTTAGGTTGCATCAACTTATGTTGCTCCTACACTAGTGGGGGGGGTGAAGAAAAGGAAATACTTTTTAAAGCTGGAAGCCCTTTCATCCAATTGTCCCTTAAAAAAGGTAAAGCAGTCCAGGTTTTTCATCCTATCAAGCCAAGACTGTTGAGACATCGGGATTAATGAAGAGCCCAGAGACAGGCCGCACTTGTTCCTTTGAGGAAATGGGCACGCACTGAAAGTGATCCCACTACAGTGGTACAATAACAAGACTCAGTGGGACTGACTTGGCGCACCTTTCTTACTGAAGGAAGAGGCCTAAGTTAAGATCGTGTTTTGCATTTGAGGAGCATGAAAACAGCCACTGGTTTAGGTGATGAGCAAAGCATTGCTAATAAGATTTCTTACAACTGAGGACTGACAGAAAAAATTATTATCATTGAACCTATGAGAGATAGGTTCAATGATAATAACTCTATTCTCATAGAATAGGAATGTATCCAAAAGGTTACACGATCCCTGAAGAAATGTAACAATACTATCTGATACAAAAGCAACAGCGTTGCTTGTAACAGCATCTCAAAGGAGCTGTAGGATAACTAGCTGCCTTCTGAGCACAACAGCAAGATTGTAGAACTTAGGCCCTCAGAATGAGGCTTCTGATACAGCTGATATTTAAAACAACAAATTGTAATAATTTGCAAGTCTCTCTGTGGGCTTGAAGGATATATATATATACACCAGGTTACCATTTTTTAATCTAAGTTGAGGCTTATATTGTCTTGGCACTGCATCATTCTGAAGTGGCACACTGAGCCTGTTTATTGTATAAAGGGTCTCTTGTTTTAGAAGAGACTACTCTTTGTTTTGCCTGTGGCCAGCTGTTTTCTTCCATTTCTGACTCTAAGGAAAACCACTATTTTCAGGTGACAGTGTGGTCGGTAGAGGCCACACCAGAGTATGTTTTTCCATTACTGTACCAGGCTGGATGTGGCTGGTGTCCAGACAGGGAAAGAGTGTTATGATGCTTATATAAAATGAGAAAAAACAATAGAAGAGTTTTCTCTATCCAGGGTTCTTCTTAGAAGCAGTTGCCCAATAAGCTGGATTAGGTATCTGGAGTATCTCTAAATGCTTTTCTTAGATGGAGCTCTTTCAGAGAGCACAATGAAAAATAATTGTATTTAATGAAATGAAAGCATAAATGTAGTGATGGGATAATTTTCACATCAGAAGCAGGAACAGATCAATAAAACAGTCTATTAACAGTTCCAGTTAAGTTCTGGTTTTGCTTAGTGTTATGCTTATTAGCTAAGTTGTCTAATTTAAATTATATAGCCAAAACATGCTTAATAAAAAGAGGAAAAAGAAATTCCACCTATATTTAAAAAAAACCTCCTGAGTAATCTACAGTAACTGTGACTTTAGTAAAATGAACTGAAACAATAGTTTACTACCAACTGTATTTTAATTCTTGATTTAAAATAACTGATGTACTAGTCTAATAAAAGTATTTTGTTTATAAAACATATGTTTTAATGCTCTGTATTGCTGTGGATAAATACATTTGAGACCCAGTTTACAACAAAGGGCAAGAGTTTTTTTGTTTTTAAAAATAACGCAGAATTACGCTTCAAAATCCATGTCTTCCCATTTAAATGTGGTGACTGGGTGTAGTTTCCATAATTTTAAACAGAGACTGGAATGTAATTACGTCTTTATGAAGATTCTTGGACTGACTGTGTGTGTTGAATTGCTGACTGAAGTTCTTTGCTAGTTGAACTTGACTTACCAAGGTGAATGCTGGCTCAGATAAGCCTGCATGTCCTGATGTCACGGCACTGGCTGCTGCAGCAGTGTAAGAACAGTCTGCAAAGCAGAGAAGATGAAGAGAGAAATCTCAAGTCCAGGGCACCCATTCCAGCAGGTTATGGGTGCTCAAAGCCTTATCTGAGCTATTGCTACACTGACTTCTATGTGACTTAGGAGAGGGGAGGGTGGGAGGTTGCTCACCTTGTGGCTTCCTCAGCTGCAGAGGAGCAAGCTGTGCCCTGACAATTTTCCCTTGGATAATGGAACAAATTGTTCATCTTCTGGACCTGTGGGGACAGAAGGGAAGAGGTTAGGAAGTACTTAAAGGTACCATAGGACAGGATACTCATTAAACTGAGTAAAGGGGGGCTCAGCCTCTATCATGGCTCTTGGCCATGCCAGCAAGCCATCTAAAGTATCACAGAGCTGCACAGCACAGCATCTCTGCTCTTGTTGAGAAAGCTTTGTATGTGTAAGGCATTAAGCTGGGCAGTGGCAGCCTCAGAAACGAGGGTGTTTTCTTATGCACTTGAAAAACTTTAGCAGAAAGGTAGGGATCTTGGAGGGTGACCTGAATGTTTTATACAGGAAATAAGTACCTTTCATTAGAATACTAATTTAATGCAAAGAGATAAGATGCTTGGATGGGGTAAAAGGTAAAGGTTTTCATATTTCCTGAGCTATAGACAATGGACAACTTGCTGCACCCCTGCTAACCTGAACCAGTTTTATTTGTCTTTTCTTCTGGAGCTTCTGTTACATGACAACACCAGTAATAGGGCTTTGAACTAAACTGAACTAGTCTGATCCATCATAGCAATTTCTCCTGTTCACATGTGCAGTGATTCGTTTTTCAGCTTTGGCTCTAAAATGTGCCAGGTTATCATGAAGCCTTCAAACGAAATTTAAAATCCTACCTTAATTCTATCCTAACAAAACTCATTATCTGGAAATCATTTGAGAAGTACAACAAATAGAAAGGCAATGTATCTCTGCTGTATGTAGCTGTATACTGTTCTTTTGTGCACAGCTTGTACTATCAGCCTTGCAGTGGGATTGTCTCCATTATGACCTGCTTTCTAGATCACGCTGCGCACATACAAGAGACACAACAATGCAGAGATGATGTCAGCTGTGCCTACAGCAAAAACTGCAACTTTCTGCCTATGTTGCAAGGGACCTAGACACAGAGAATCACGTCGCCTGCTCCGTATAGCGTATTTTGACCTTTTGTTTCTTCTACTAAAAACAAGGCTGCATGAGAGCCTTCTGTTGAACAGCCCTCAAATGCCACTACAAAATGCACCTGAAAATATGAAATTAAATTATGATGCTAACTTATTAAATGCCAGTACTTTAAAAGTGCAAACTATGTTTCTCAAGTCAACACTTCACTAAAGACTGGATGATAGCATCTCATAGGGTCTAACTTAACATAAGAAAATGTTGCCATATACATCAGTTGACCTTCACAAGTTTAAGATCTGTATGCTCATTTCTGTAAGATCACCTGCAAGTGACCTCTGCCTTCCACTTCTCCCTCAGCTAGTTGATCTCCATCATCTATTTCATTGGCTGTGTTTCCGTATCTTTCTGAATCACAATGGTATCCAGCACTCGGGAAGAAATTTGCAGAGAAATGCGCTGAAAACTGCTGGAAGACAGCCATGTTTTGTTGCAAGATCATCTTAAGTACACACATTTAGTACCAGCTTTGCAGTAGTTGTGTGCTACAAGCATGTATTTGGTTTAAATGGTCTTTCCTCCAAAAAAACTTACTTTCATATCACAGAGACTAGGCAAATTAGTCACTAAAAAGAAAAGAAAAAAAGTAAAAATGTTTTAATAATAATTAAAAAAAAACAATAAAGGAAAAGCAAGCCTCCAAACAAAATCCTCTGTTAGTCATCTATAGATATTAAGGGTTAAAAGGCAAGTTTCAAATACCAAATCTAAGATAATTCTCCCTAAGTTTCAAAATCAGTGTTGGGGTAAGAAATTACTGTTGTGAGGAAAAAAAAGCAGTACTCATAATTTCATCAGTTTCCCAGTGTCTGTTCAGTCTGTCACTGGCCATCATCATTTTTCTGTCAATTATATTCAAGAATAATACTGTCATACTGAGAAAATCCAACTCGTTTATATTTTGCAAATAACATTACTAAGCAACATGGAAGAAACTACATATGTGAGCTTCAACTACATTTTAATGTACATTTTATTCAAAGTATCTGGTCTGTGAACACACATATTTGTTAAGTGCGTTTTTGTATTTTGCCCTGGAAATGTTTGTTCTGCTACACCATCCATACTGCAAAAATTAAAGAATTATTTAGGTTGGAAATTACTTCTGAGATCATAGAATCCAACCTATGACCGAATGCCACCACGTCAACCAGACTATGGCACTAAGTGCCACAACCAGTCATTTTTTAAACACCTCCGGGGATGGTAACTCCTCCACATGGCACAAAATCCAGGGCCAGTGAGGTAGAGAGGTGTATCTGAGTGTTTATGACTGTGGTAATCTAAAATCTATGCTTTAGATCAAGAATGTAGGAAACTTTTGTACTTTTCAGTGATTTTAGTAACTTAGAATTAGAATTCTAGTTACTTAGGATAGTTATGGGTTTTTTTTCCCAGGGAAACTAAGATGGAAATCATGAAGGTATTTCAACTTACTATGTGAGCATCGGATGAACAAATTTTTATTTCGATGCCTTCTAATTTTTAGGATTTTTAGCTTTTTGTAGATTTTAATGTACCTGTGTAGTAAACATGGATTTTTAGTATAGCTGTGTAGTTTCTCACACTTTACAATAGCAGTTTATCAAACCTCACAGTACATATCAATTTTTCTAAATTCTGT